AACTATTTTCAACGTTTCTGGAACGTTTACAATCGTTCTATAATCGAACCAATATTCGAATTTTATGTTCGAATTTAATTTGAACAAATTCAAACAAAACATTCGAAATAGAAAGCCACTTTCAACCACTTTCAGCTTCATATCTCCTGCACCCTTATAGCTATCAAGACGCAACCACCCCTATGCACGAATGGAGACTTGGGGCTACTACAACATACAAACACCATTCACGTGCGATGTGTAGTTTTGGCGAAAAAGTGAAATATAGGGACATACATGTCCATTTTTATATATATATATAGATATATAGATATAGATATTAAGATATTTGAAAAATATTAATTTGACTCTTTTTGTATATTTTATTTTAAAAAAAATCTGAATGTTTCATATTCTATTTCAGTTTAAATTATAGATATAAAAATTATTTTATTACTATTTACTGTATTTGAACAAAAAATCAAATATTCTGTTTTAGAAATTATTATTATTTCAATATTTGACTTATTCACATACTAAATAACTTTGCATTTATTATATATGTAACAATAATATTTATTAATACAGTCAAAACCCAGGAACCCAGGTTTCAAACTTAATTTGTTCTTAAAAGTTGTTCAAAAACCAATTTTGTTCTAAAACCAAAACAAATTTTCCCATATGAAACAATATAAAATTGGTTCCTGATCCCCAAAACAAAGCCTTTTTTAAAACATTTTTAGCTGTATCACATGTATAAAAATGCCTGAAAATACAATAAATATTAATTATCTATTTATATATTTATATTAAAAGTGAAATGTTCCTTCACCACAACCAAAACTAACACTTTACAAAGAAGTGTTATGATAAGACTCAAACAGATATGGAAATGATTAGAGTTACTGTATAGCGTGATGACTCATTGTGTAATACCAGCAGAGGGCATTAAAGTGCATCCCCTTTGCTTATAAAGAAGCATGCAACGGCATCCTATTTGTAATTTACCTGTTGTAGAGGGATGCTGTATCACTAGAGATGCCTTTATGTCACAACGAAAACCATACAGACTACTAACTGCTTTTGAGAGAGTTCCATTATACATGACAGCCAAATCACCTAGTAGTGATCCAAGAAACCATGACAGTCCAGCAGTATGTTAGTGACATCCTGCGGCCACATGTGTTGCCTCTTGTGGCATGGCTCCCAAGGACCATTTTCCAACAGGACAATATTTGACCACACACAGCAAGGTTGTCACATGACTGCCTCTACCATACTGTCACATTTTCCTGGCCTGCCTGGTCCCATGATTTGTCACTGATCAAACTTGTCTGGGATCACCTGGGACACCAAATGGACAGCCTAGAGGTTTAGCCTAACTTGAGGACCACTTGCAGCAACTGTGGACTGAGATGCCACAGGACACCATACAGCACCTGTATGCCTCCATGCACATCTGTATCACATCATGTATTCGTGCTAGAGGTGGCCCAACAGGTACTAGAACCTCCCGTCATTTTCCTGCAATAAATAATCCTTTTACTTTAATTTTGTAATCACTTACTTATATTACCATTACACTCACACATGTTAAATTTCATTCAATTCCAACAATTTCTTGGTGTGCTAATTTTTATGGCAATGAGTGTATGACCAAATCAATCAAGACAGACAGCAAGTACTTCACACTTTCTGAAATATGTTTAAATTGATTTTATTTCAATTTTAATGTTAATTTAAATTACCGTATTTACTCACATATAAGACAAAGTTTTTATTCATTTTTCACTGCTTCAAGTTTGTTATATAGGTTAGTTCTATATGTGCAAGCGAAAGATTTTTTTGTTTTTGCAATAAATTTTTTTACCAGATTCTCATCTTCTGGTGTTTAAAAACAAAAGTATTTTATCTGGGTTGTTTGAATCATTCTTGTGTCAGAAGTAAAGATGAATAGCAATTGGAAAAACAAAGCTTTTGAAATGAATTCCAAAATTACATGGGAGCCCGATATAAGTTTTAATTAATTCCCATGTGAAAACAGATTATTATTTGGAAATCAGAATTCAGAGAAACTCATAAGTGTAATCAACAAAGAATGAATTTGACTGTTAAGAATTGGCAAATAAGGTTCCCAATTGAACACAATTACTAATTACACAATTGATTGAACACAAGACT